TTGTTTCGAGGGTTTGCTCAGGTATGGGGCCGGGGGACCTAAGTCAGAAGGCCGAGGGGACCCCCTCTTGCCCCGATAGTGCTTTGAGAAAGCTCCTACTCGCTTTGGGGGGGCCCGATCTTACATCGAGCGTCCCTCGTCTGGGCTTGTAGATTATCTTTCGTCATGATTAAATGATTCCAAGGGCGGTCTGCAAACATGGAGCGTGTTGCGCACGCGGTCTGCTCCGGACTGGCTATCGTGGAAAAGAAAGAAAGAAAGAAACCAGACAAACCCAAACGAGGGATGGGACGAGGACAGGGTCCACACCTGCACGAGCAGGATTTTGGAAGGACGATGAGGGGGACAGGTGGGCTCTCCTGCTCCTGACAAGGGACACGACAGGCTCGCAGCGCGGTGCACGGTGGAATCCCAACTCCACCGGCGGTCTCATCTCAGTCTAGCGACCTTCCTCCCGTCCGGCCGGAGCCCGTAGCGGTCTCATCTCAGTCTATGTGTGTATGTAGGAAGGCGAAAAACAGTCAGGCTCGGACTGGACACCAACGCGGTATGGGTGGACGCTGGACAGATGATGACGACACGCACGAGCGACACACAGACACAAACAAGCTCACAAGACACACAGCCAGCTGGCTGCCACACACCCTTGAGTGGCGTACACATAACTCAGCAGAAGCAGAAGCGAACGTCGATGTTTTTGCTGCCGCGGCCGCGCCGCGGCCTCCCGTTTGTTTTGGCGCCGATGCAGCGCCGTTCTCTCGCCGCGCGAGATGGCGCCGCCGCGGGGTCGGCGCCGCGATCAACCGCGCGCCAGCAGCGAGCGGTGCAGAGCGGCTACCAACATGACAGTTGGCGACGGCGTCTACAAAGTTCAACATCAGTCTATCACGCGCCGGAATCTGTGTGTTGTCGTGCTAGTGTCTGGTGTCTACTAGCCCCGAGTAGAGGGGGCGTTCCGCTGCTAGGGGAAACCCGGAGCGCAGAGCTAACCCTCGGGGACCCGTGTTTACTTTAAGGCCCTTTCCCTGCGAACGCGCACCCCCCCTAAGGGGTCAGGGCTCTCTAGCCCGTAGCCCGATGCCGATATCATCCGGCTCGCTGGGCGCGCTTCTTAGCTCCCTGGCCCTGGATGTGAGGTTGATGACTGCACTCCAAGTGCTCCAAGTGCTCCAAGACCGAAGGGAGGGATGGGAGAACGGCACGCCGCCACCACACAGGGATTTTAAGGAGAGGGGTGTGGTGCGCTAGCCGTCGCCCACCCTTGGGCGTCCGCCTCTTCCTATCTCACTTCGCAGTCTCTCTCCGATTCTCGCTGCAACCTTCGTGCCACCTCGCGGTCTCCCCCTTCTCGTCGTGCTCTCCCTTGTCGCTTCTTCCTCTGTCGCGTCGCTCTCCTCTGCCTCGTTCTGCGCCGCCGCCGCCGCCTGCCGTTCCCTTGTTCTCTCGGCTTCTTTTGCCTTTCGGCGCAGCTCCGCCCTCCTTGGACCTTGCTGCATATCCTGGCCCCTCGAGTCTATCGAGCTCTCCTCGCTCGCGCAAGGACGAGTCTTCTGATGCCCACTGCGATCATTTGCCACCCAGTCATATCGTTGCTCAGGTCCACTCTCTCTTCGAACACTTGTGCCTTCACGGATGATGCCGGCGCTGGGGTCATTTTCACGCGAATCGCAAATTTGTTTTTCGAGCGCGTCAGCACTCTACCAGCGCCACGGGCACACGATGCCGTCTTCCTCCACCTCCGCGGCGCCGCCTCCTCGCCGAGAGGACATCCGCAAGGAGGGGTGGGCGTGGAAGGAGTCGCTCTTCCTGCGGCAGTACCGCAAGCGCTGGCTCGTGCTCACGTGCCCGCCGCACCCTCAGCCGTCGCGGCTGCTCACATTCTCAAAAAAGCAGGACTACTCGGCGCGGCCGACAGAGGCGCGCATAGGCCGAGGGGAGGGCAGCACGCGCGCCTCTCTCCCGCGCCTCTCACGCGCCACCCGCCGCCGCGCCTCCAGGACATCGACCTGCGGCAGTGTGGCACCGTCAAGTCGGCCGACGACCTGACAAACAAGCCCTTCTCCTTCACCGTGCAGGTGGAGTTAGCCACGCCTGCCCGCGCAGAATGGCTCCGCGGCCGCAGCCGGAGCGCCTCCGCCGCGCGAGCCAAACTGCCCGCCCGCGGCGACGGCGGCGAGCGCTCCTGAGCGCTCCTCCCCTCGCCTGCTCCGCTGCCCGCCTGCAGGTTCCGGACCGCAACTTTTTCCTGGCGGTGGACAATGATGCGGACCGAAATGAGTGGGTCGCCGCGATCGGCCGCGCCACCACCGAGAACCGCCGAGTGCGCAGCTACTCGGAGGAGGTCGAGTACCAGGAGCAGCAGGCGAGGGCCGCACCTCTGGACAGTCCGGACCTGATTACACAATAACATAATAATCTAGTATAATCACTCCCGACCTGCACTCGGACGACTGCGAGACGACTGCAGAGAGACCTGCGGGACACCTGCGGGATACTTGAGACACAGCAGCCAGCCACACCTCCTACACAGCGGCGAAGCGCCGCCTGTTGCACGGAACATGTCCTGGAAGCTTCCTAGAAGCGTCACGCACGCAGCTAGCCGCTCTCCCCGACCCCTGCCCCCGCTCCCCTCCCCAGGCGCGGTTAGCGGCGGCGCGGGCGGCGGGCGACTGAGCATTACCTCGGAGGCGTGCTCTGCCGCCGCCCTCTCTCTTGCTGCCGACTCTCCGTATACTCAGGGCGGCGCCTGCTCTGTCGGCGCGTGCGCTTAGCGTGGGAGGCAGGGCGGGCTTGTCGCTTGTGCCGGCGGCCTGCCACACCGCGCGCCAGCGCGTCTCTGGCGGCAGCGAGAGGCGCGCGCCCGAGAGGAGGGGCGGAGGCATGTGTGGTAGCCAGAGTTGAGTCGAGATTGCGAGTGCTGTGCGGCGGGGCGCGCGGGGTTGTCGGCTGTGGCGAGTCAGTGCCGGCTGCGCGGGGCCGGGTGGGGGGCGGGAAGGGGGGAGCGCGGGTGTCTGTGAATTTGTGGGTCTGACGCCGTCTCGGCGTCTTGTCATCATATATGAATTATCACATCATGTGAATTATATATGCGTGTCGTGGGCCGGTTTGGGGCGCGCCGCGGTGTGGAGGTCTCTGGGCCGGCGCGGGGGCCCCAGAGGGTGTCCATGCGGGGGGGAGATGGGGTCCCATGGCCCGCCGAAGGCGCCGATTTTTTCGGGATTTTTTGGCGATTTTTTACTTGTTTTCATGGCACATGGGAGTTCGGCGGTCTCTTGCGGCCATGCTATCACGCCCCTCTTGCGACATCCTTTCGGCGCTGCTGACCGTGCCATGCTGCTCAACCGACCGCCTGCATAGCTCGCGCGGCCTTAGTATCAAGCATTCAGTGACGACCTGATCTACGGCCAGTAGGAAGGTGTCCTTCCAGCTGCGTGCACGCTTCTGGCGCAATGCGCGTCGCCTCGGATTGGCTGCTGGCACTCTCGAGGCTATGCCTACACAGCCTCGCGCGCATGGGCAGTCAAGAGGGACCACGCACCTTCTCAGGACAGCGCCGGTGCCTCTCTCTTGGACCGGCAAACTTGGTGGTCTAGTGTCACCAATGTGGGACCAGTGCGGCATCGCGCCATCGACAGCTCTGACCTGCGCCTCACCACTGACCGGGAAGGCCGCCAAGTGGGCCAGCACCGGTCGCACATTGTGGCAGCAGTCAGCAGTGTATGTCTGATAGCTAGAGCACCAGCGTCAGGGTCGCAGGGTCGGATCGTGTCAAGCCTCTCGCCCGGCCGGCTGCGTGCAGACGTCGGCCTGTCTGCTGTCTGGAGTGATCTGTCGGCGGTCAGTGCGACCGATCAGGTCGGAGGTTTCTGATATTTGGAGGTTTTATCTGTATGTACTCCTCGAGATCTCTCCAAATCTTCCCTCTGATTAACCTAGCTTAATATCGGGAAGTTGGTGCTCTGAGCGACTCTGAGCGCCGGGGCCCCGTTTCCGCACTGCGGCGCGGCGCACGGTGCCTCCGGGGGCCCCCGCGCCCCCCCCAGAGGTGGAGGTCTGGGTGCGCGCGTGCGGGGTGTGTACGAGACTCGAGAGAACCAGCTGGTTCGCAGCGGCGGAACGGGTCGCGATATAATTACTCTAGTGTCTAGAGCCGTACTGGGCTGGGTTTTTAGGCATTGTGGGGTTGGCACTCCCATCGACCCTCATGACCTCCTGCGGTCTCTGAGATGGACACCAGTGGGTGTGGGACCACAGCCAGGATACACTCGAAGGCTGGGTAAGCAGTAGAGGTCGATACTCGACGCGTCCCACATGGTCTGTGTCGCTGTCGGCACGCTGTCGACAGGACGTCGAGCGACACCGGTGGCAGTGCCACCCAGGAGTGGTCGGGCGCTCTCCCGTCATGAGAGAGCCACCATGTGATCCGTATGATGATTCCTGACAACCGCCTCAGTCAACTTTCGTCACAGGTCCCGCTCTGAGAGGAGCTGCGGGTCAGTTCGACAGCTGGAGCTGTGTCGCCGGCGTGCGGCGGCCTGCCTCCGGAGGTGCCTCTGAGGTGGACATTTTTTGGTCACCGTGAGAGAACGCGTTCGAATTTTCACTCGGGAACTTCAACTCTGCACGCGCACCGGCCAGGGCTACAATAGTGCCAGTGAGGCGGAGGCGCGAGTCGGAAGGCCGCGACCGTCAAGTGGTCCCGTCATTTTCCTACAATCGCTGTGAACCCAGCCACGTATCCGATATTTGGTCGAAGCCACGCCCACGGGAAAATCGTACTGCGTGCGGGGCGCCGCGCGTCCGCCGCGGCAGGTCACGCGTCTTAGATCTTTCCTTATCTCGTAATTACACAGGTAAGGGGAAATGCCGAATGGGGAAACCCCCCACCGCCTCACCCCATCGGCCCCCGGCCGCCTGCGCTCTCCTACCCTTCCACGGCTCCGTGCTCCGTCCCCCACGCTATGTCCTAAAGAAACTTGATCGCGTCGAGCCACCCTCCCAGGGGGTCCGAGGGCGAAGGGGGACGGGGCTGGGCGCCGGACTGTGTTTGCGGGGACCCCTCTACCTTTTCTGTGGGTGCAGCGCCTTTTGAGCCTCGACCTGCCGCATGCGCATGATCTTCTTCCGGTCTGCGGACCGCTCCTGCGGCGGAGGAGAGAGCGGTGTGTGCGGGTGCGGGCGCGGCGAGGGCGGCGAGGGCGGCGGCTGTGCACAGCCGGTGCCGGTGGGGAGGGGGAGGGGGTGGGGCGAGCTGTAGTGGAAGTGTGTCCTCGGGGGTGGGCCGTGGCCAGGGCCGTGAGGGGCGAGTGGGGATGGGGCGCGGGGGAGCGGCGCGAGCGCACCCGCCCCGCACTCTTCTCCTCGCTCTTCTTGTCGTCGTCCGCGTAAAAGGTCCGGTTGACGCGCACACTCGCTGCGTCGTGCGCCTCGCGCGCGAGCACTCGCTCCTACTCATCGCGACTGGTCCGCTGAGTCCGGTGCGGGGTGGCGGGCCGCGCGAGGCTTGCCCCTTCCGCGGCATCGCTCGCGCCTCGAGCGTCATGTGCCTCTGCGGCACAGCCTCACTAGGAGCAATCTCCTCCTCCTCCTCCTCCTCGTCACCAAACGCATACGCGGAGAGGTCCTTGTCGTCGTCGTCGTCGTCGTCGTCGTCGTCGTCGTCATCATCATCCTCGCGTGGCCGCTTCCGATCCTCCTCCTCCGCCCCCGCCCCCGCCCCCGCCCCCGGCGCCGCGCTGCTGCCGCCAGCGCTGCTGCTGGCGCCGTCGCTCGACGCGGCAACTGGCGCAGGAGCAGGAGCGGCGGGCGCCTCGTCGTCCGAGGCACCCTCGGCCGCCATGAGGGCAAGCTTCCAGGCTGGAACCTCCTTCTGCTCCTTCTTTTTCCTCATCATTGTCGATCGCCTCCTGCCTGCGCTGTCTACAGAAGCAGATCGGGAAAACAAAGAATTCGCTAAACAAGGCGGCCGGCGTTGGTCGGCGGCCAGTTTTGCCGCCTTGCCCCCGCGTCGAATCCGCGTCATGGCGGCGTCCCGCGTGCCTCTGCTGGCGGCCCTCGCTGCCGCCCTGAGCTGCCTCCTCCTACTCCCATCTCATCAGCGCACGGCCATCCTTGACTTGATAGACAGACATAGAAAGCATGAACCATCGAAAGGTCTGATCTCCAAAAAGAACTCTCGGCCCGCCGCGCGCGCGCCCGCGCCCCGCCCCTTTTGCGCAGCAACACCTTAAACTTCATGGCCCTCCAAATTCGGGTCGGAGCGTAGCGGAGTGGGCCCCGAGTTCGATTGAAAAAGGCGACGGACGCTTGCGTCCTAGCCTCCAACAACGCCTCCCCGGCGCAGAGGGGCCCCCGGAGGGATGCACAACCGCTCCACGCCACGCCGCTTGCGGCAGTCCTATCAAGTACTTACTTCTTATCTTGTTATCTCGCGTGAATCGTGTCGTGCGACCGCGTAACTGCCAAAATTCTTATGTTCTTCCACGGAGGGATGGAGTCACCTGCGGTCCCCCGTTATGCGCCCCCGCCGGGCTTTGTGCGTAAGACCAAAGCGGAGAAACGCGAGCTCAAGGCGGCAAAGATGCGAGAGCTGCGCGGCGAGTGGCGGAGGAGGGAGCGGGAGGGTCGGCGGAAGCAGGTGGCGCAGCGGGCCGCCGAACGCGGCGCCATGCTCGAGCGCATGTCCGAGGAGGAGCGCGCCGACTTTTGGCGCGCCGAGAGGGCGGAGAAGGAGCGGCTTGAGCAGGAGAAGAGGGAGCAGAACGAGCGGCTCGATGCGGCGCTGAGCGACGGCGTTCGGGTGGTGGTCGACCTCTCGTATGGCGCGACGATGAACCTCAAGGAGCAGCGCTCGCTCGCCCGGCAGCTCGGCCGCTGCTGGGGCGCCAACCGGCGTGCGCCAGCGCCGGTCGCTCTGCACCTCGCGTCGATGCAGCGCTGCCCGGCGCCCTGCCTGCCGCAAGACGGCGACCACAAGCGGTGGAAGGTGCGGCTGCTCGACGAGGACCTCGAGCACCACTTCTCTCCCTCCGACCTCGTCTTCCTCTCCCCGGATGCGGACGAGGCCCTCACGTGCGTCGACAAATCAAAGGTGCTTGCACCGCCGCCACAGCCGCCACCGACAGCCGCCACCACCGCCGCCGCACGCAACAAGAGGCGCACCGTCACCGCCTCGCTGCCGCCTCCACCTCCCTCCCTAACCACCCCCACCCGCGCGCGGTGCGCACCTCACCCGCGCCGCACCTCCGCCGCACCTCACCCTCGCTGCAGGTCTACGTCATCGGCGGCCTCGTCGACGTCTCTGTGCAAAAGCGCTCCTCGCTGACGAGGGCGAGAGAGCTCGGCGCGACGGCGGTGCGGCTGCCGCTGCGGGAGCACGTCGCAGACGTCGCCAACCGGCGGCAGCCCCTCACGCTTCCTGCGGTGCGCTCTCGCTGCACCCCCCTTGCGCTCTCTCCTCCCCGATTCGGCCGCCATTCTCTCCTCCCTCGCTTGGCCCTCGCCCCTCCGCCCTTTGCACCCAGAGACCCTTTGCACCAAGAGCCCCTTTCAGAGACCCGCTCGCGCACACACCTCCGCCGGCCCGACCCCCCCCCCTTCCCCACCCTCCCCCTTCCCCACCCCGCCAGGTGCTCGAGATGCTTCTCCACGTCAACGCGACCGGCGACTGGCTCGCCGCCATCGAGGCGGCGCTGCCGGCCCGCAACCACACGCGCCCCCCAGAGCTCTCCCGCTCCGGGCGGCGCAAGGGCAAGCGGGCGCGCCTCGAGGCGCAGGCGAGCGGAGCCGAGGCCAGCGGCCCCTCCTCCTCCGGCCCCTCCTCCTCCGGCCCCTCCTCCTCCGGCGCCGCCGAGGGAGCTGCCGCCGAAGGAGCTGCCGCCGAGGGCCTCTCTGGGGCCGCTCGAGAGGGCGGCAGCAGGGAGGGCGACAGCGGCGAGGGCGACAGCGGGGAGGGCGGCGACAGCTCCAGCGACGATAGCTCTGGCGAGGACGGCGGCGCCGAGGGTGCAAGTGAGGGCGCTGGCGAAGGCAGAGCTTGCCAAGCATAGGTAGGAGTCTTTCGCAGTGCGCGACGGTCTGAGACACTCGGTGAAGACGCTCTGCGCTGCCCTCTCACCTTAGAACAACTGGTTGCTGGCGCTCTCCTGAGCCCGGCTCATGGCAAGGACCTGCTAGTTCGTAGTTGCAGGCCTCTGATTCAAGTACAATTGAATCCGAGGCTAGTCATTGCAACTCGTATATACGAACACGACATTTTTTGGCTCACAAAACGAGAGGACCTCAAAGCTCATCGTGTTCGTGATCCTCCTGCTCCTCCCCGCCGCCGAGGTGTGCGAAGCGCGCGAGCCCGTCGGGGAAGCGCTTGACCCGCCCCCTCGCGCTCGCCATCGACAGGATCATCTGCACGACGCCGAGGCGCCGGAACGAGTTGAGCTGCGCGTTGACGAAGAGCGCCGTCCTCACGAGGACTGGCTGGTCGGGATGCACCTACGGCCGTCGTGCGGCGCGCTCGCAGCTTGCAGCCGGGCCATCCTGCCACACCTCGGGCGCTGGTCGCGGCGGCACCTCCGAACCGTCCTCGGACACCGGCGGCACAGCGCTCCCGTCCGCGCGGACGAGCGGGACGAGCGCGGCGTCGAACTCGCTCCAGTTGAGTGCGGAGAGGAGCCCCTGCAGCTGGCGGTGGTCGTAGTGCACGCCGGGCGGCGAGGAGAGCACCCATGGGGAGTGCGACTCCTCGGGACCCGTGTGCGACCCGCTCACCTAGGGCCAGGCAGAGCCCCTGTCCGAGCCGGCTCCCGGCTAGCGGCGGACGTCTGACACGTGGGGCGGGTGGGGCGGGGTGGGAGAGGGGGGCGGTCGCCAGGTGGTACAGCGAGCGGTGGATGCGCGGCGATGACGGCGGCGGCGACTCGACGAGAGAGACCAGCCTGATGGAGCGGACGGGTGCCTCAGTGGGCCCACTCCCCCGGGCGGCGACTCGAAGAGGCAGAGGCGCCAGTCGTGGAAGGCATCGCCTACTCGCAGCGTGACAGGGCCGGTGTGCGCGGGGCCCGGCCGAGAGGCGCTCTCGTGGAGTGGCGTCGCCGACGACGCGCGCAGAGAAGGTGCGGGTGATGTAGGCGGCGACCTCCGCCGGGTCGCCTGCGGGAGCGGGAGGGGGCTGGTCGTGGACGTGTCCCTCGGCGGGAGCCCCTCTCTCTCTCTCTCTCTCTCTCTCTCTCTCTGTGTGTGTGTGTGTGTGTGTGTGTGTGTGTGTGTGTGCGTGCGTGTGTGTGTGTGTGCGTGCGTGTGTGTGTGTGTGTGTGTGTGTGTGTGTGCGTGTGTTTGTGCAGCCCCTCGGAGAATCTCGACGCAATCTCGACCGCAATCTCGGCGTGTGCTCGCCGAAGGGGGCAGCCCCCCGGGTGGCATTGTACACCGCGTGCAGCGCCGCGACGACGCCGGGCACGTGCGGCTGGGCTACCATGCCCCGCAGGAGGAAGGTGCGCTGCTGGTGCGGCACCGCGATGCCGAGCCGCGTGAAGTCGCCCATCGAGCCGAAGGCGGTGCTGACCACCGGGGTGCCGACCAGCTGGCACTCGAGCAGGTTCATACCTGCGGCGGGAGGGCAGGGGGGGGGGGGCGACGCTGCGGGAGAGCGACGCACAAGCATGGGGTAGACGTGGGGGCCCGGGGTAGGCGTGTTTCGTCCGCGAGGGCGACCTCGGAGAGAAGGGTGCGAGAGACGGGCCCGCCGCATCATCTAGGCGGCGCTGCCGAAGCCCTCCGTCTTGCTCGGGTGGAGGCAGACGTCGGCGGCTCGCTTGAGGGCGGCGGTGCGGTTCGCGGGGAGGACTCGCTCCTCGAGTGTGTACGCCTTGAGTGGAGTGAGTGGATGAGCTGTGAAGGGAGTGGCGCGCGCTCCGGAGTGTTGCACGCCTGCGCGGGAGGGGTCCGTGGACGCGGTATGGACGTATGTGGTGTCTCGCGCGGCAGTCCTCCCTCCGGAAATGGCTCTGAGTGGCTCTGAGTTGTGCCCCTGAAGTGCCTCCGCCCTCTGAAGAAGTGTCCCTCCGGAGCGCTCGCCTCGCGCGGTAAGCCCGACGCCTGCAGCAGCAGCCGCAGGGGCACGCCCTCCTCCTCCACCGCGTGGGGCGGCTCCTGCAGCAGCAGCAGCAGCAGGGAGTGAGGGAGCGAGGCGCAGCGCCGGCGTGGCCGGGCCGCGTGCGGTCGCGGCTCCCTGCCGTGCCCGTCGCGGAGGATCGCCCTCGAGCTGACCGCGTGCAGAAGGAGGTGCGCGTC